AACCCGAATTTAAGAAAGCAAGAATTATCCGCACCGCACGGCACGTACACCATATCAGATGGCTAGAGGCGGCCAGCATATATTTGGCTAACCTTAAGGATAATCAATGCATCAATTATAAAGAAGAGATTACGTTATCAACAGCGTGGCTAGCGTTTATGAATAGTAATTTATGATAGCCCGTTTGGAGTCGACTGCGCATGACATACAACGACGGAAACGGGAAACGTGCATTCGAACTTACATATTTCGAATTTAAAGTTTTTACGAGCTGCATTTTCCATCAGAGATTCGAAAAAACCTGAAGAAGAACCGTTTAAGGGTTCGAAAACGTTAGTTTTGGTTCGTTTTGGATCGTTAAGAGTTAGTAGATACACCGGTAACAGGTTAGAAAGAGGTAATTATATTACTATGCTCTGGTGTTGTGGTAAAGATGAGTAAATAATTCTTCCATACATTCATGAGACATTGTTCTAATTACTCAGCAGTCTCACAACTGAACGACGAGACGGCACACACGTTAAGGTCGGCCTGTGCAGTCTGACACTACGCAGGAAAATCAAATGGTTTTTCGATTCTACTCCGGTGGTCGGTACAGTTCACCAAAACTTAAATTTTCCCCCACACACTACCAGGAATTACTCGAGGTCAGGCATGCATGGTTAATTCTTTGAGGATTAACTTAATGTGTATGGCCGCCTTTAATCTTTACCCCATCTTGAGATATTAAGTAAAATAGACACCAACATACACACACAAACATACAAAAGTTTATTGCCTTTTTTTTTTGACTTTTTTGGATTCAAGAGGTCTCAAAAGAAGGAAATTTGCAAAAATCTCAGAGGGTCAAATTTAATATGATTTCAATACTTTTCCTTGTTATGTATACATAACAGCCGGGAAAGTAAAACGACTACTTCATTGTATCAAACTATCTAATTTGTGGATCCTAACTGTTAATTCATATTATTTTAATAAATTAGCATATTAGTGAACAATTAATTAACTTTAGATAAACTTAATTAACTTTTAGATAAATATACAATGAAATGTTCCATTACAGTTATACAATTTAATGAATTAAAAATGGATGAAGCTATCAATGTATAAAGAGTTACAGTAGTGTTTGATGTTATAATTTAAATGTATACATGTTAATTAATTAATTAAAATGTAAACTATTCTTACAAATTAAACTTTACAGCTGATAACAGTAAAAGATGCAGCATACAATTGCATTAATCAATAACAACTGTTTCGCATATTAAACTTAAAAGTAATATCAAATATCTTTAATATTTTAACAATTTTAAAGTCTTTACCTGCTTAAAATATAAGTCCAAGATAATAACATCTTCCTTTAATTGTTTAAAACAGTTATATCCAATGTTTTGATAGGAATAAATGAAAATCAAACAAATCCATGGAAGTCGCCATCTTGAAATGATAAAAAGAAAAACATCAATTACACGTTTAAAATATTTTTAAAATTTATAAAAGGCATAATTTAATTGGGTGCATCGCGAATATTATTTCTTAATAACCAATTACATTTACTACAACAAATAATCAAAAGCGACAGAGATTATAGGTCAATATTCAGGGAAATTTCTTGTACGGGGAATTGTAAATATAGATAGGTTTTAAGGATTTACCGAAATAGTTTAATAATGTTATAAAATATATCATATAATTCAATTTACTTAAAATTAATCCATTTTTATTGCAATAGAAATGAAAATTACTTCTAAAATACATTTTTTTACATTTCTTCGTATAGGGAAATTTCGGTAAGAATAAACAAATGAATTATAATTTTATATATTGTCTTGTTTAAAACTTTCGACATGGAATATTTTAATAAAATTTTAAATAATTCTAATAAAATTACTTGTAGATTTTCGAAAATAATAAACATATTAACCGAAATTCTACTGAATTCTCAGTGATATCGGGAACTAGGATTGTTTCCAAACGATCATATGATTGCGGCGTAACTAACTTAAGAATTGACAATGCGCAGATGTATTCCAGACATCGAGAATAATCCATTTTAATTTCGGAGGGTGTGAGCTTATTATTTAGCTGAAATTTATGAAACATTATTAAGTTTCAGGTTTACAGAATGATTATTAAAGGATATTAATGAAAAGTATGTTAAATTTAGCTAATTTCGAAATAAATGTTTAATTTTTATTTTAAATGTAAATTTTGGTAGGGGGCGTCCCTCCCTGCAGACAACAAGTCCATTTTAGTCGACCGCCCTCCATGTCAGTACGGTCACAAGATTCGTTTGTTTCTGTTTTACACCATCAGTTCTATTAAATTTTATTTAGAAAATGGTAAGATTTATGCTTCTAGTTTAAATTAAAAGTATCAAATGCTTAATTAATCAATTATTCTTTATGTAATTTAAATAGAAGGATGAGGTAGTGTTGATTCATCTTCGTTCTTCAACACACTCATTCAGTTTTTTAACATAAATTCAGTAATTTAGTTAATTAAAAGTTAATTTCTTCTCAAATTTATGCATTAATTTAGTTACATAAAATTTTAATGCTTACATTTGTAAATGCTTTGCTTTAAATGATTTATTTGATTATTAATGACGTTTTCTTGTTAGTTTTACTAATTAATGTTGCAGAATTGCGACAGAAGGTAAAAATCTCTATATTTTACCACTTGGGGATGTTAGTCACCTGCGTTGTGTTTGAGAGGAGCGTTGTGTTGCGGCTAGAGCAGGAGTCGTAAACGATTCTCGTAAGATACACGAGTACTTGTACGTAACTTTCTACCCCGCAGACAATAGGAATGCCTTATTTGTGCCCATCCTGTGTTCACTTGAGCCAAAGTTGTGATACGATAGTCACGAGATGAAAGAAGCTGCAACAGCTTATTTGAGTCAAATTATTTGTGAAAATTTCTGAAGAAAAGTCTGTCTGGAATCTTTCCTGCCTTAGCAATTCAGCAATGGTTGTATTCTATGCTGAAATTGATTTTATAACATATTCCTATTAAAATAGAAAGATGTGATCTTTCTATTTTAATAGGAAACAGTAGAAATAGTGAAATAGGAAATAGTGAAACAGCTTAAATCGTATGTTATTGGTACTCTGTTATATGAATCTAGTAAACATTCATGTTGAAGAAAATGTTCACTCTAAAATTTGCATGCCAATGAGAATATGATTTGTAACAAAATTCATCTAATGTAGAGATTTAGTTACCAATTTTTGTTGTTGTGATTGCAATTTAAAATAAAGGAAAATCTGAATTGAAAGCAGTCGAATGCTTTAAGAAACCTATTGCTAGAGTTCTCCTATTTCACATTCTTTTATTGATATGATAGATGAAGTTAATGAACGGTATGATATTAAGGTCATTGATCTGCATGTTATGCCAGTGCCGGTTTGTAAATATAAAATGTCAAGTGTTTAAAAAAGTAATTTTAGTTTGAGATTTTAGAATTTTTTTTAAAAATTGAAATGTAATTTTTTTTGTCTATTTAGGTTAATAGTTCTGTTAACTAATTAAATTCAATTTTAAGAAATTTCTGTTATAAATTAAAACTTGGTGTATTCTGAATTTATTATTAAAAGAATAAATTGATAATTTTTAATGAAATAACTAAAGAATTGTAATTTAAATGTATTTAAAAATATATTTATGGTAAGTCTATATTAAGCATAAAAATGGGTAGAAAAAGTAAATAGTTACTTCTGTAATTATAAAAAAATTTTAGTGATGTACTGAATAATTTACCTGGAATATTATGTAAAATTTGAAGTTATTGTCAGTATTATTTTCTATTTCAAAAATATTAATTTTCCTATGGAAATTAATATACCATTTGAGTCATAAACAAAACTGGATGATTCTAGTGCTATAATTATTAGTGGCATGCTATCCATGGAAGCTTTGGAAGCATTGTTTCCCTTGTATTTCTAAAATATAAATACATGTCATGTGATTATTTTCATATTTTAACATTAACATTTTAATATTAATCTAAATTAATTCATTCTTGAAACTCTGTTGGCGATTATTTTAGTCGTTTTGAACACCAAATAGTGTAAATACACGAACACTAGGCAATCTTCATTTTAAATTTATTCAATTTTTAGTTGATACATGTACCTGTTTTTTGTACATGTTTCAGGCTCATGTAGACCCCCTTCCTCAGCCAACTAAAGTTATATAATACATATGAATTACAATATAAATATACATATATAAATGAAATTTTTACATAAAAACTTTTCCCAATCATTACAGAACGCACTTTAAGATTACTTTTTTCGAAGGACTTTAAGAAAAATTCCAAAATTTCAAAAAATGTTCGAGGCCCTTCCACAGTTTCAAGTAACTGATGATCGATTTAAAATCTTTTTCTGATTATTTAATAGAGTAATTATTAGTTTCTGTGTTAATCAAAAAATGCTTTATAGATATATGAAACGTACCTTCATGTTTTTTGTAGTTTCTGTGCCTTTTACATGAAGAAAACCTTCGATTTTTCATGCCGCTGATTCAAAAGGTACTTTTCCATCTACTTTCTGTAAAGTGGTATGGATTCGTCTTTCTTTGCATACCGAGAAACAATAGATTACAAGTATTTTTCAATTAGATTCATTAGTAATTCTTTGAATTATAAATGTAACTTACCTTATTACACTTTATTATAACAAGCTACATTTGTAATTCAAAAAATTACTAATGAATCTAATTGAAAAATACTTGTAATCTATTGTTTCTTGGTATGCGAAGAAAGACGAATCCATACCACTTTACAGAAAGTAGATGGAAAAGTACCTTTTGAATCAGCGGCATGAAAAATCGAAGGTTTTCTTCATGTAAAAGGCACAGAAACTACAAAAAACATGAAGGTACGTTTCATATATCTATAAAGCATTTTTTGATTAACACAGAAACTAATAATTACTCTATTAAATAATCAGAAAAAGATTTTAAATCGATCATCAGTTACTTGAAACTGTGGAAGGGCCTCGAACATTTTTTGAAATTTTGGAATTTTTCTTAAAGTCCTTCGAAAAAAAGTAATCTTAAAGTGCGTTCTGTAATGATTGGGAAAAGTTTTTATGTAAAAATTTCATTTATATATGTATATTTATATTGTAATTCATATGTATTATATAATTTTAGTTGGCTGAGGGGGCCTACATGGGCCCGAAATGTGTACAAAATAAAGGTACCTGTATCAACTAAAAATTGAATAAATTTAAAGTGAAGATTGCCTAGTATTTGTGTATTTACACTATATGGTGTTCAAAACAACTAAAATAAATAGCGAGGTTGCGGCCAACGTTTTCAACGCGAAAATGTGTACGTCGGACGTTCAGCACTGCCTTCCTGTAAGCCTAGAAGTGTAACAATGGCGTTTGGAATGTCGAGCATGATTCTACTGACGTTCCAAATGCCATTGTTAAACTTCTAGGCTCACAGGAAGGGGCGATGAACGTCTGACGTACACGTTTTCACGTTGAAAACGTCGGCCGCAACCTCTCTAATATTTTATTATAACTGCATTATGTTCAAATTTCTATACACGTGGAAAAAAATGACAAGATTGCTATTGTATATTTGAATATAAATCTGTATATGCATATTTCCAATGGAAAGCGCTGAATTGTCGAATACGGGACAACTTCCACAGCCAAAATATTTGAATGGTGTAAAGCAGCCAGATTATACTCATTTGAGCATGCTTTACAGAGCACCAACCACAGGCAGATTAGCTCATGGATGCTACCCACCAAAATATTGTATAATGCTTCCAATGATTCTGTTCAGGGCCGGCATAGCTTCCCCATCATTAAATGTCACTGCAAGCCACTGATAATTATATACTACAAATAGCTTAAAGAGAATAATTACTTTTCAGTTTTAAGATCTGTTTTTGTTCTTTATTCTGAAATTGATCCACATATTAAACAGTATATTATATATAAAATCCTAGGATGTTAATATAGTATAGTTCGTTCTACCACCATGTGAATGATAGCAGACTAGTTAATTGTTGCAAGTAGTTAAATTGGTTCTTTGTGCATCAGTAGATATTGATTTATTTTGCCTGCAGCCTAGATCTCTGTACATAATCTTGATGTGTAAGTAGCAACACAAGCCTGTTGAGTGTCACGTGTTAAGAACACTCTTTTGAGACCTTTCAATGTACAATTTCACACGTTACATTTTTGCATAATCTGAGACTGGGCTCTCTGGACTCGTGACTTCTTTGAAATGAATATTTGGTATGTGTTCTGGCTAGTTAAAGGTATCTAGACTATGATCTTACACATGATTATCTTTTAATGCCAACTTTTGTAAATCATCTCCAATCTTACAGTACAGTTTTTATTGCTGGGTAATACTATGGCTATATTATTATGTCATCCATTTTAAAAGATTGTTTGTTTTTTTTTTTTTAAATAAATAAGTAAATATATATATATTTTTTTTAAAAACAATTTTTTAAAATACTTCTTAAAAGATTATAAAACTTCAAAGGTTAATACAGAAGACAACCATTGTTTTTTAGCTATAACCACATTTTATCAGAGACAAAACTAGCAAATTTAAATGGAATAGTATTTATAGCTAGATATGTGAATGACATAATAGAATATGACACATTAATAACTAATGAAAATATAATATGCAACTATGCAAATACATTAAGCAATACATTAAAATTTGAAAGCAAAACTAAAAATGAAATGAATTATCTGGACATAACTATAAACTGCAACAAAAAATGTCCTTAATATAAAGCCATATAAAAAAAGCTGCAATGTGGATAAAAATCTAAACTACATATTGTATTGTTATAACAATTAAAAAGAATAATTTTGTGACTGCACTATCAAAGATATGGAACAGAACATCTAAAGCAGAAGATAGAGAAAAACAAATTGATTTAATAAATACATTTGTATTAAACAATTACCCCAGTAGATTATTAAAAAAATGGATAACAGAATTTATAAAAAAACAGATTTAATGTTAAAAATAAAATAGTTGATAATATATATACGTCATTCCCTTTATATTTAAAGGTACATACGAAAAATATAGAAATGTTTTTAAAAAAATATGGAATTGTACTAGCAGCCAAACTAAAAAATAAAATCAAAAATAATAATAATATCAATAAAATTAAAAATAAAGAAAACTAGATGAAGTGGGTGTTATATATGAGCTTAAATGTATGTGCAATAAACCAGCAATTTACATAGGTGAAACAGGAAGGCAACTCAAGACTAGAGTAAGAGAACATGAAATAGCAATTTGGCTAAAAAATAACCAATTGCCATGGACAGATCAT